CACTCTGGCCGGCATCCCGCCCAGCTCCCTGATGTTGCTGGTTGCCAGGAGCTGGGCAGAGGGTTCCACTAATCTCCTGCCAATCAGTTATGTCAATGAGCTGAGCAGGATACCGGCCAGAGCATCACAGGTTGCAAAGAGCTCTAAAAAACCTGGGACGCTCTGGCTGGAAAGGAAGCATCAGGCACACCCATGTGACCCATGGAGATGCCGCCTAAGGCTGCCTCAACAGAAGGACGGCCCTGGTCTGAGCACATCACACTGTTTACTTTTTTAACTTTATTCTGAGTGTACAAAGTTTACATTCCATTTCTGGTCCCCACACAGCGGGGAAATGTACTGCTCTGCTGTGATATGCGGTGCGGTCCAGAGCACTTCTGAAAAATGCGCCATCTCTTAATTTTTTCTCAACTTACCATCTGTCGCAGCTTGTGGAGGTGTGACCAGGGCACATAGAAAACAATTGTTTTCTATGTGCCCTAGCAGTGACTGACGTTCAGCTGCTGAAAAACACCCATCACAGCATATAGTGTGAACGGCCCTAAAGGAAGTCATGTTTGGTGTATTAAATCTTCTTCATCCGTTTACCTCGGGGGGTTGTGGCAGGGGTTTATTCTTTGACTGCATACTTTGTGCTAAAACGTGTCCCTCATTCTCATCCAAAAAAGTTGGGAGGTATTCTACGTAAGACATATCATGGTTGCCAATGCTGATCTCCTTCTGAAAATGCTAGTTACCAGCTATTGTCCTGAACCCCTGCCTTCAATACTGACTGAGAACAATTATACATAAAAGTAGCGATGCACCGAAATAAAATTTTTATACCGAAACCGAAATGAAAAGATTGTCAGCCCGAAACCAAAACCAAACATTAATTTTTTTTCAACCTTATTAATTTTTTTTAAATGATGTTTTAATTTCTGTTAGGGGCTTTTGGGGAAATATTAAGGGTCTAACCAGATCCCTGATATTTCCCTTGTAAAACAGAAAAAGAGATTGAGGACACAGAGTCCTACATCTCTTTTTCTGCAGTCCCTGTTATGAATGAACAGGAAGTCTCTATATGCTGAGTGCTCATAAGCTTACTATGTCCTGAGTTATTTACAAACACTCAGCAATCAGTACTGATCACTGAGTGTTTGTACACCACTCTCCATCCTGACTCACCTTTCACAGGAGGCCGAGTGGGGCGGTGTGGGAGAAGAGCTCGGCCTTAGACATGTGCGATTCGTTTCGTTACGAATCGAAATTCGTACGAATTTTCCTGAAATTCGTAAATTCGGAAGCATCCGAAATCCGAATTGCAGTTTCCGAATTATATCCGAAATACGAAATTCCGTTAACGAATTTCGGGTTCCGAATTTCTTTGAAACAGGAACTAATATTACCCCTGTAAATGAGGTTGAACAACATGACAAGATTTTTTTTTAATCCGAAATACGGATCCGCTGCTGTGAGGGTTGCATTACAATACACAGGCAGGAAATACGAAATTCCGTTGACGTATTTTCGTTCCGTTATGAACATTCGTTACATTGAAGTTAAAAAGCAAAGTACATTTGTTAATATATTGGAGTTGATGGTAGTTTGTTTCTTTTTATCCGAAATACGAAATTTGGATCCGGAATCCGTTAACGGAATTCGTATTTCGGATAAAAAAACAACTACCACATCGACTCCAATATTAACAAAGGTATTTTTGCTTTTAAACTTCATCATAACGAATGTTCGTACAGTTACGAAAATGTGCCGAAACTAACGAAAATTCGTATTTCGTACGAATCCGAATTGAGTTTCGGACACGAATTAAGAAATACGAAATAACGGATATTCCGAAACGGAACGGAAATTTTTTTTGACGGCGCACAAGTCTACTCTGCCTCTTGTGGCAGCTGACAGCTGTTTCCTCCCCGCTCGGCCTCCTGACAGTTTACTTTAGGTACCAGTCGGTGTCCCCTCCGATCCCCGCTGCCCGGGCGGGGGAAAGCAGTGGGGATTGGAAGGAACACAGTCCAGTGCCCAACGGAGAGAAGAGAAGTTAGGGATGCACCTTATTTTCGGCTGCATTTTCAGCCCTTTTAGTACTATCGGCATTTTGCTCAAAGTACCATTTTCGGACTAAATGTTTTGGCTGCCAAAATTTCAGTGCATCCCTACATATAATTACTTCTGATTTCTCTTGTTTTCTGACCTACATATTTGTTCCGTCAGTGACTTAAAGTAATGAAACCAGGCAGCGAGATCTCGGTAATAGCAGCTTCCATGTTTGTCTCATAACAAGTTTGTTTTAAAAAAAAATCTGTACTGAGAGAAGTATAGAGCACCCAGGTTTCCTGCTGATGCAATAACTTAAGTGTTTAAAGTGGGCCCGTGGTTTACTAAGACAGGGCAACACAACAGGTTCACTTAAATGCCTGTCCTCCCTACTGCATATACTCACTGTCCATTCACTCCCCCGCTAATACATTTGCTGTGGATCGTTTAGAGAAATACCTTGTATATGCGGGAATGGTGGAGCAGTGTGGTGCACTTCCCTCTCATGTGACAACACTGGTGCATAGTGATTGGCCCAGTGCTGTCACATGGGAGCGAGAAAGTCCTTAGCCCTGCGTAAGCTCCTTTCCTCACTCCTGGCAGCAAACATAACGGCAGGGGAGAAAAGGGAAGGCAAGGCCATCCATATAATAAGGCAGCCTGAGCATCTCATTGGGTCACGTGGGCTGTGCTTGCTGCCCTCTATCCAGCCAGACTGTCCCAGGTTGCTAGCTCTTAACAACCTCTGACGCTCTGGCTGGCAGCCCATTCAGCTCATTGATGTCACTGGTTGCTAGGAACTGAGCGAGACGCTCTGGCTGACATCCCACTCAGCTCCTGGCAACCAGTGACATCAGTGATTGCCCGCTAAATGCTGACAACGCAAAGCCACGCTGTGGCTGGGAAAGATCCCGACATTATTGTTGGGATCCACCCCGCTGCCTGAATGACAGCTGGCTCTGCCTCTCCAGAGGGGGTTACTTATGATCAGAGCACCAAAGAAGTGTAGCTCCCCCATGTTGAAGTAAGAGCTGGGGGTAATTACGTATTTCAAAAAACTTCTGGATGTCTTCCTCGCTGAGTAGGAAATACAAGGATTTGTATACTCTTAGGTGACAAACTGGCATACATACAAACCTACGCTCACGCACACATAGGTAAGAGTGGATGAACCATGGTCTTTTTCCTCCTTATCTGCTGTTACTTTTTGTGTTCTGTGCATCCCTTTTGTGTTTTATGTTTTTGAGGGGACTGTACAGAGCACGAATGTGGAAGCATCAAAGGGGCTTTAATAGCATTAATCTGTCGCAGTCTCCTGAAGCATGACTCTAGTCCCTAACAACTTCTATAGCACGTTCGGTCATACTAGATTTCTGTGCCAGTAGTCTGTGATCATGGCCTGTGGCCTGTCTACAGTCTCTGACAAAATATTTTGTAAGGCCGTTTGGTGATGTCAATGGCCAGACTTGAGGCCCTCTATATCAAGGATGTTGACCATGACTGTGCTGAATACCAAGAACAAGCAAATTAGCATAACCCAATGTGGTTTCCTTTCTTTCACAGCCTGCACTTCATCTCATGCTTCTGTTCAGTTTCACAGTCACAGAAAGTATACTTCACTAGCTACCAATAAATCTTACTCATATAAAAGGAAGGAAAGCTTGGTGGTGGTCATTGGCCCACTCATACAGGGAATTGTCTACACTGAAATTGATTCAGCTTTTGTTTCTGTCTTAATCGCCATC